ATTCCACACAGTTCGACAAATTTTTATATAGACAAGACCAGAGTCGATAATTTTGAAAATGGTAAAAAGTGAAAAAAAAAATTATAGTAGGATAAAACCCGTTAAAAAAGGACAAGAATATAACAAAAATGAAAGGAAAAATAATTTACGGGCGATCTGAGGTCGGGAAGTGGAAGGGGGTGAGTTTTTAAGGGTAAAAAACGGTGTATCTCGATTTCCGGCAAAATTACAAGTCCTATGGAAAAAATTAAATGACGAAGTTGTAGGTAATAAAGAGACCTACAACTTTTGTAATTACACTTTTTTCACATAACCTCAAAATTTATGTGAAAAGTTCAAATAATCAAGTTTTTGGTTTTTTATTTGTATCTTATGCAAAAAAAAATTTTTTTCACGAAATTTGGTGAAAACTTACCGTTTTATGTCCTAAAGACACTGTAATTTTTTTGATTTGAAATATTTATTTTTTCACCTTATTTTGACTTAATATCGAAAAAACACCCTAATTTTCAATCGAAAATTCTCGCGTCAAAATATCAGCTATTTAAAAAAAGTCGGTGAGTTTTTTGTTCGTTGTAATCTCTTCTTTCTGATAATGTAAAAAAATATATACATTACTATGGTAAATGTTCTCAGAAAATGCAAAGAAAAGAAAAAAAACTCTAATGAGAAATTTTTTTTTTAATCACTATCTACAATTTTGAGCTATTTAGTAAAATTGACACTTTAATTACTTGAAAAACGTCAGATTCTATGTTACATTGATAAACAAAAAAATTACAAATCCATAAATCATAAAAATTGAAAGAAACATGCGAAAATAGTTGTTCTAAATATAAAAGATAGAATTTAAAGGGGGGATTTCAATTAAAAAATGTAATTGCTGCAATTTTTTTTAGTCAAAAAGTTGATTTATTAAATTCTAATTGCATTTATGTCATAGAAAATCTCATAATATATGAATAGAAATGTAAATCGTACTATTGAATTTAGATACTTTATACTGATTATTATTATTATTTATAATAATATTTTAAAATGCATTAATCTTCTTATTTATAAATCTTATCTTGAACCCTAATCACTTATCCATTACTTTTTGTCTCTTCGGTGGCATTTCTTCATCGTTAGATTCGACAAACCTTCCCGATTCTAGTAGATCTTCGAAATCTTCAAGACCATCACCGTCTTCGTATCCAATATTATTTTTAGTCTGAATTGGTCCTTCATCCACAATTTCATCTGAATCACTAACTTCCTCGTAGGTTTTTTCTTCCACGTTGGTGCATTTTTCAGAACCATTACAATTTGAGCATAAATTTGTGCATTTTAAGCCATGTTTTCAGCAGCCATGTTTTCAGCAGCCACATTTTAAACTGTTACATCCGGTTTCACAGCTGCAGCAAATAGTTTTGAGCAATATTTCCGGAATTAACTCCTTCTCTGTAAATTTGGTCATAATCCCACGTTGATGTTGCTTCCAGCCCCAATCTGTTGCTGTCAGTTCGTTACCTAGCCAAGTTTGAAGTTGATAATATGCCCTGTAACAATGCTGTTCTGCTGCACCTTCTGTGAGTGGGAGATTTGCCATATGATAGATGATTTAATCTTTGCCAATTGATATTTTTGAAATCTTAATTGATTCAGTGTTATATTATCATTTTTACATTTATAAATAGATTTGATTAATTGTAATCCATTTTTTTCGTTATCTTTTTTGTTTGCATCTTTTTTATAAAAAATATTGGCCAAATTTGACACATTTTTATCATCTAATAATAAATTTACAATACTCTTCTTTCCTTTTCTGGCAAATCCAGATGTTGTATCGCAACCAGAAAAACAATGCAGAAATGCAACGATATTTTTGAAGGATTCATATTTGAAACTATTAGACGTGAAAAATAGATCTTTTACATTTCCAGAACCTGGTTTGAGAAAATAAATGTCATGATTATTTGAAGTTAATTGATTTAAAAGGACCAAAAGATAAATATCTTGACTCACAAATTATCACTAGGTAACGCAGGTATATAAGTTATCTTAAAATAGCAATAAATAGGCATCTATGCACATAATTTAAAGAATATTCTACAACTTTCTCAAAATATTGTAGATGTCTTATTAAATATTAACTTATTTGGTTGTTAATTATAGTAGTATATTTCGATTTGCATTTTTTTGTTTATCAATGTAACATAGAATCTTACGTTTTTCAAGTAATTAAAGTGTCAATTTTACTAAATAGCTCAAAATTGTAGATAGTGATTAAAAAAAAAAATTCTCATTAGAGTTTTTTTTCTTTTCTTTGCATTTTCTGAGAACATTTACCATAGTAATGTATATATTTTTTTTACATTATCAGAAAGAAGAGATTACAACGAACAAAAAACTCCCCAACTTTTTTTAAATAGCTAATATTTTGACGCGAGAATTTTCGATTGAAAATTAGGGTGTTTTTTCGATATTGAGTCAAAATAAGGTGAAAAAATAAATATTTGAAATCAAAAAAATTACTGTGTCTTTAGGACATAAAACGGTAAGTTTTCACCAAATTTCGTGAAAAAATTTTTTTTTGCATAAGATACAAATAAAAAACCAAAAACTTGATTATTTGAACTTTTCACATAAATTTTGAGGTTATGTGAAAAAAGTGTAATCACAAAAGTTGTAGGTCTCTTTATTACCTACAACTTCGTCATTTAATTTTTTTCCATAGGACTTGTAGTTTTGCCGGAAATCGAGATACACCGTTTTTTTCCCCTAAAAACTCACCCCCTTCCACTTCCCGACCTCAGATCGCCCGTAAATTATTTTTCCTTTCATTTTTGTTATATTCTTGTCCTTTTTTAACGGGTTTTATCCTACTATAATTTTTTTTTCACTTTTTACCATTTTCAAAATTATCGACTCTGGTCTTGTCTATATAAAAATTTGTCGAAATGTGTGGAATGTTTTTAATATCTAAATTTAAATAATGCAACTAAAAATTATTGTTCTTACAAATACTACATTCCAAATTCTTTTATTTATTTACATTTCGCCACTACAAAACATGAAATAATTTAACTTTTATGTATGTCTTCAAACAAACAAAATTCTAGTTTTTCTTAGTACTGATGTTATTTACAAGTGATAAGTACAATTCTTTATTTTCTGACGTGGTGTTCATTTTATTTATTTACTGTGCTTCTTAGATTAGTGAAATAAGCTGTGAAAGTTATTTACATCATACATAAATAACTTCAAGAGTTTTCAATTGTCGTTTCTTAAAATGGTTTACACCATTATTGAACGCGTTAAAATGATTTTTATTTACGGAGCCAAAATCGTTGTTTTGCAAAAATGGCGGCCATATTTATCAAAAGACATCGGGAATGAAATGTTGGGACTCAAGTGAGTTAGTAGCAACATTTGAAGAAACGATCTGTTTGCAATAAGCAAATGGATGGGCCAAGATTACTTATTGAGGCCGTTCAGATTGAGGTTCTTGGTCAAGTTGCTATGGCCCCCACTACGATCCTTCGTGAAGTTGTACAACAAACTGATCTGTCGTATAAGTCAGTCAGAAAAGTATTGAAGCTTCACAAATTTCAACCATACAAACTGCTAATGACTCAAGTATCATGACCCGGAGAGACTTATTGAGTTTTGCGAAATTATGACTAACATGATTATTAATCAGCCTATTTTAATAAAAAATAGACGTTTTAGTGACAAATGCAGTTTTTACTTAAATGACAAGGTCAACAAACAAAACTGTCGTTAATGGAGCGACTTCAATGTACACATTATTAGAGAGGGACATACGCAATATCATCAAAAAATAAACGTTTGGGCGGGTATATTAGGCAATACTGGCAGGATGTGGAATATACTCCAGATCCTTAAACCTAAACAAAAAATAAACTGTGAGCAGTAGTACCAGTGTAGTTCAAATCGAGCTCACGGGGATTCTCATAGCAACATACATTTTGAGGTTATGTGAAAAAAGTGTAATCACAAAAGTTGTAGGTCTCTTTATTACCTACAACTTTGTCATTTAATTTTTTTCCATAGGACTTGTAGTTTTGCCGGAAATCGAGATACACCGTTTTTTACCCTTAAAAACTCACCCCCTTCCACTTCCCGACCTCAGATCGCCCGTAAATTATTTTTTCTTTCATTTTTGTTATATTTTCGTCCTTTTTTAACGGGTTTCACCCTACTATTATTTTTTTTTTGTTTCAAAAATTATCGACCCTGGTCTAATACTATCATTTGTAGAAACAATATTAAATGCTATTCATTTTCAAATTGACACCCTGTATGTATTTCTTCGGTACAATGGCAACTTAACCAGCGCGGCGGCGTAGAATAAGGCTCGCTTCTCACTACTGAAAGAAGAACACGTCGATGTCCTAAAAGTGTAAATTTACAGAAAAAGTGTAAATTTGTTCTAAAAATATTTTGCAATATGTTATGACAGCTTTCGCTTTCGTATCTTAAAGACCTAATTTATAGAAGATTAACACTACACCAGCAGCAGTACTAATCAAGGTACTGGCAAAAGGAAGGTTTAAAAAGGCTCCAAATATAATTCAACTTATTTGCTGTATAGTCCAAATAGAACAAAGAATTTAAGTTTAGTCGCACTAGTCTCACTGATGAACTTCGTGAAGATATCTCCTCTATCATCTAAAACTGGAGAAAATAAGGATGATATGCCTAAAATCATTAAGGAAGGTAAAAATGTGACATATCGTAAATTTCAAACATCTTTAAGAAATAAATAAATTCCTCAAAATTTTCATGTTCATTTGGATAAAAAGTTTTGTACTCGATTGATTCCACACAATTTAACTGAAGTTCAAGCAGTAGCTCGTGTCAAATGGCACAAAAACGCACGGAATTCAAATTAAAAACATCAAATTCGATGTATAACTGGGTAAAAAATAACAAGTGACAAAACATGGAATTATTATGATCAACAACAACCAGAAGAAGAAAATAATACATACCTAAATTACATTCACCATCTCCCAATATGGCCATGACCCTTTGCGAATTATTGTGCAATTCTTCTCTCATTCCTTCCTTCTCTATCACTTCTTCCCTTAATTTATCTTCAGTCTCTTTTAATTTTTCAGTCTGTAATTTGTAATTGTTCTGCAAAGACTCGTACTTTTCAGTCAATTTCGCTAATTTGTCCTTGAGTTTTTCCATATCGGTGACCATCAAATCCACTTGAAGGTCCTTATCACAAGTTTCGAAATCGTTTGGATTTTTCGGAATAACCGTAACACCTGCCAAAGCGTTTTCTACATCGGACATAGTCAAAGCTGTCTGTATACCGCTTTCGTGGTAAATTTTTGTTTTGACTTTACTCTTGGGGATGTACAGCGAAGAAGTCATTAGCTTAGAAGGAGTGTTCTCCTTGGAAGTTGGTCTAATTAGGCTCAAACGATGCAAAGTGCTCTCCCTACTTGAGACTTTTTTTATTTCTTTACTTTCATTATTCTTCTTTGGTCGTGGAAGCGTAGCGTATTTTTCTATAGTTTTGGATTCCTGAGGCGATATTTTTTGTTTAGAACACTCAATCGTGCCTTTGAGTGACCTCGACATCAAAGGAGCAGGTTTGCTATTTATAGAAGGCCATCTTCCGTCGTCTGTAGCCGTTGGCGTTGTTCTACTATTCGACGACGTTCTCACAGCAGCTGATGAAGTTCTTTTTGGATCCCTTTTAGAATTTACTTCTAGATTATTTGGTGTTGTTTTGGTCCTTTGAGGTGGCGTTCCTGGTTGCTTAGCTTGCAGCCTGTCTATAGATTTTATCCTTACCGGTCCGTTCGATGCTCTAGGCGTCACAGGCGGTTTAGTAGATCGATCTTTTCGAGTAGAAGATTTATTTCTGGAATCTAAATTAGCGCACTTCTTTTTTGTATTGTTACCGGAAGATCTTCTATTGGTTCTGACGTTGGAACCGCTAAGTGAGGAACTTTCGCTTCCATTTTCGCTAGTGACGTCTTCGTGTCTTCGGTAGTCTTCTAATAGAGTCGAGTTTTTTCGTACTAGTATATTGTAGGCTTCATCGTAATTGGAACAACAACTAATTATAGAGGAATCGCATGATCGAGCGCCGTTTAAATTGTCTAAGTCTTGAGATACGCCACTATTGGAGCTGAGGTTGCGTTGGTACCCGGCGCACACCGCACTTTCAATATTTTCGACCACTTCCACCCCGCTATCACTGTCACAAGGTTTTTTTGATGCGGTATTTTCGATGACCGTGATGTTGGAAATGTTGAACCCGTGGATGGTGCTGTCTGCTTCGGTTTCTCCTCCGCTGTCGTTGAATACTTTGATGTCATCGGAAGTAATTAGTTCCTCGGCATCGGTAGAAACTATCTGTACAGTTGGTGAGTCGGCTTCCATGACTACGTTGTCATTGAACCTGTAACAAAACAAATAAATGAGTACCAACGTTTTTTATTGAATTAAAAAAAAAAATTGTTATCATTTCGAGTATTGTACTCAAATGAAATAAAATAAGATTTTAAGTATTTCTATAAGTAGGTACTTAAACAATATTTTTGGAAGGACGAATTATAATGCCAAAAACATTACAAATCGGAATAACATTGGATTTTATTTTAATAGTTTTATTTTAATTTCAGATTATAGGTATTACACAAATTATCTTCCAGTTGAAATATTTTATTTTTAACTCTACATAATTTTAGAAATATATTTTAAATCAATAATTTTTCTTTTAGATAAATTGACAACTTAAGTAATGTTACTTAAAATAATTATTATTTTTTAATAACTAACATTTCTGCCTATTTTTAATGTTCTTAAAATTAGATACAGGAAGAAACAGCTAAAGATCCGGAATTGCAGCAAGTGTTACAATATATAAGAAATAGATGGCCCAGAAAAATGAACAACATGACAAATGAAACAAAATCCTATTCTTTAGCCAGATATGAACTATTTGAAAACAATGGGTACGTGTTTAGAAACAAACAAATAGTCATACCAAAATCTCTTAGAAAGGAAATGATGAAAATTGTGCATGTAGGACATATGGGTATAAACTCAAACATAAGACGAGCACAAGAAGTCTTTTACTGGCCAAACTTAGGATCAGATATAAAACAGTTTGTATCTTCATGTATGGTATGTCAAAAATGTAGCAAAAGCAACACTAAAGAACTAATGCAACCAACTTTAATAGCAAGTTATCCATGGGAAAGAATATCTATGGATTTTTTAAAAGCACAGGACAAGCAATATATTTTGATTGCTGATTACTTTTCTAAATTTGTTGTAGCTGAGCAAATGACTACAACAGCAACTATGTTAATAAGTAAGCTGAAACCAATAATATATACACATGGAATCCCGAAAGAGGTAAGGAGTGACAATGGACTTCCATTTGACTCAAGGGAGTTTAAAATGTTTCTAGAGGAAGAAGAAGTGGAGTGACTCATAAGGCAAGTAGTCCTAAATATCCCAGATGAAATGGGTTTGTTGAAAGACATATCTATAAAGAATATGGTCGCCAAGTCAAAGAATGAAGACATATAGAAGACCGTCATGATATATAACAGTGGTCGCCCGCTGAGGCAATTCTGGTAGCTCTCACAACGATTTTAATTTAAAAAATACAAACTGCAAAAATCAGAGAAGCTTCCGAAAATTCCACAAAAAAATCTAATTGTCATAATATTAAACATAAACAGCGGCAACGTTGCGGTGAGCGATCTGCCGCTGACGCCATCAAGCTAAAATCGGCTAGAACCGACCAGCCGGACCAGCGCGTTAGTGTTCGAGAACGATCAGGATTGCTTTGAACGGGATAAATAAGCACGGCGCGGCGACATTGCGCTTAGTTTAAAACTGAACGCGTAACCAACGTCCAGCGGTTGGGTTAGCAGAGAACAACAAAAAATAATATTATGGCAAGCAGTTGTAAGAAGGTAAAGACATACCACTTTCATTCGGAATTGGAAGAACAATACTTTTTTACAGAAGTTAAAGATAAAAATGTGTGTTTGTTATGTAATACTTCGGTCTCCGTTGCTAAAAAAAAGGAAATATTGAGAGACATCATAAAACTGTACATTCTAATTTTGAAAAATCATTCCCACTACATTCTGCCGCCAGAAAGGAGAAACTGAAACAGTTAAAAAAGCAGTTAATTGGACAACAATCAATATTTTTAAGAACAGTCGACAAAAATAAGGCTGCAACTATAGCATCGTACCGTGTGTCCCAGATAATTGCACAAAAAAAAGAAACCTTATGAAGACGGGGAAATGATAAAATAGGCGTTTTTAGAAGCTGCCGATTCGTTATTTGTCAACTTTAGAAATAAAGACGAGATAGTTTCAGCTATAAAATCTATGCAACTTTCTGCTAATACAGTGATGAGACGTGTAGAAGTAATGAGCAATGATATTTTTTTACAGTTAAGAACTGACTTAGATAACTGTGTTTATTTTTCACTTCAACTGGATAAATCAACAGATGTCGTTGACACTGCCCAGATGGGCGGATGGTTTTTAGTGATTTTACGATTAAAGAAGATCTTTTGAAGTTTATTCCACTGAAAGGACACACTACTGGACAGTTGTTTTCTCATTTAAAAAATATTATTTCTTCCGAGAAAATTCCAATATCGAAAATGGTAGGCTTGACAACCGATGGCGCTCCAGCTATGGTGGGATGTGATAAGGGTCTGGTGGCGTTATGTCGTAAAGATGAAACTTTTCCGCAATTTCTCTGTTACCACTGCATTATCCATCAGCAAGCATTATGTGGAAATTTCCTGAAACTGTTAATACTGGGACCTACTCCTTCACTCTGGAAGTCCGATGGTTAAGTAGAGGACGGGTGCTGAAACGTTTTAATGATGTCCTATCTGGTATAGTTCAATTTTTCAAACAACGCGATGAACCGACTCCGGAACTAGACAATTCAATCTGGCTTAGAGATTTTGGTTTTCCCGTGGACATTACGGAGAAATTAAACGAACTTAATTTGCAGCTTCAGGGGAGAGACAAAGAAATAGCGGAAATGAATTCTGATATAAAAGCATTTATCAAAAAGCTGGAGTTTTGGGAACAAAACCTAATTAACAGCGATGCCAAACATTTTCCTATTCTTTCAGAAAAAATATCTCAAAATCCATTAGAACCCTATGACAGCAAATATCATGTAGAAATAGTTTCTACCCTGAATAATAACTTCAAAAATCGTTTTAAGGATTTCAACGAAATGGCTTTAGTAGCGCAGTTTGTTGTTTCACCCTTTATGGAAATTGATATCCAACAGTTTGCAACTTGTGTTATGCAGAACTTTGGCGAAGACAAATGATTTAGCCTTAAAATCATTAGTCTCAAGTACCAAATGTATCTGGCCTATTGTAAGTAAAGACAAATATTCAGTTCTATGCCGTGTTGCCTTGAAAGTGAAAGCATTATTCAGTTCAACCTATTTGTGTGAATCTTCTTTTTCCAATATGAAGTTTATTAAGAACAAATATCGCAATCGACTTACAGATGAACATTTTGATAATTGCATTCGAATGGCTGTATCAAATTATACTGCAAACATTAAAAAAATTATCGATGACTCTGAGCCTTCTCATTGAACGTGCTTTTTTATTTTTCAATGTTTATGTTCATGATAGTGCGTTACTTTTTTGTTGTTATTATTAACTATTTTTAAATCTTACGTGACATGCCGTTGTGGCTGGATAAAAGTTTGTGTTTATTTTTCAAACACCTTCGTTTGGTAGGTAGGAATGTAGCTATGAACAAGTACGTACTAGTAATATTAGTTATTTTGTTATTAGTTTATTATTAGTACCTATGTATTATGTATTACCAGTTAAATAGTAAAATAAATACATATAATGATAAATTAACTGTGGATTATTTCATTTACGTTGCGTTACGTGGCTTCCGTGTGGGTAGCTCGCTGTTTATTCCAAAATTAACAAAGTAGCTCAACACATTGAGAGGTTGGCGACCACTGATATATAATAACATCTTCCCGCACCAGCCGACATTCTGATGGAACGGAAAATTAGAACCAACCTACCAATGACAGATAAATTGTTAAAAACAAGATCGTGAAATAAAATTCAGACAAAGATAAAGTATGTTATGTTGAGAATGGGGTGTTAATACACTGCGACCTAAAAGATCTATTGTGCCCCCTTCTGTCGCCACTGCACTAAGGAAATGTCTCAATGCCTATAGCGACCCTTCCAATCCTATTTTCTCAAGGAAGTGTAGGATTTGAAGTGGCTTCAAGTTAGGTAAATCTCCCTCTTCTATTTGATATCCTCCTAGATATAGTGCCCTTGGATTCTGGAGTGCTACAAAAGATAAAGTATGCCCAAGAAAAACAAAGTAAATACAATAGAACTACAAGAGAAAGACGCCCACTAGAGGAAAGCATTTTAATGCAAAAAGAAAACCATACGTGGGTACCTGCAAAGATCTTGAAAACATTACAAGAACCAAACTCGTATTTAGTTCGAACAGAAGACGGAGAAAGTACAGGAAAAATAAAATTCACCTGAAGAATCTAAAACAAGTTGAACAGAGCATAAAAGTGAAGCAAGAAGAGCATAAAGAAAATATGGAGCAAGAAAGTGAAGAGGAGAATGGAAAGGAACAGTTGAACAATTGAGGGTTGGAAGTGGAGACAAGAAAAAATGGTAGAAGAACAAAACTTACAAGTAGATTTAAAGAGTTTGTTATGGGAGGGGAGATGTGACGTAGTGGAATGCATCATACAAACGAATGCATCACACATAAACGAACACATCCTTCAACAGTCATGTCAAGTGTCACTTGTCATCGGATACTTCGTAAAAACGTATGTACATGGTCTACATCTGATATGTATTAAATAAATAAAATACTTTAAAGAGTTATTTATTACTATAAATAACGTTACAGTTTGTAGTACCCTCTTGTACTGCGTTAGTTTAGCCCTATATAGGGCACAGTTTGTCTGTTGATTCTCCTCCAAGGTGTTCTAAGTGTGTGTTCCACCAGACTGTTTTTGTTCTCTGTTGTCTTATTTTCTCCAGACATTTTTCCTCGTAAGCGGTAACAATAGCCTTACTTACTTTGGTATACTGCTCGTTCAAGGTTTTTTTTTTCACCTGTTATTTCCATCTTACAAATAATCTCCAAGTAATGTTGAATATCTTTCCCAGTTCGTCTCTAAAGGGTTTCTATATTTGGCTGAAATTCTGAGGCAATTAGATCAAATCAAATATGTGGTCTAAGCACGATTGTTCGTCTGACACTTGCTACTTTTAAATGTTATCACTTGCTTTATTCAAGTAAAGAGTCATATCTTGGACTATTTTTCTCCTCACCGTGACAAAAGTTTGTTTGTTGCCCATATTAGCAATTACTAAAC